AAAAAAAGACAATCTTTCACATCCGCTCAACGTCCCCAAAAAACATGATCAGTTTTCGCCGAATTTTATGTGCACTTCTCTACTCATGCCCACTTCAACCGCTGAAATTTTGGAAACAATCGCTCCAATATTTAGGATTTCTTGGTCATTGCACATTTCTACGCATGCCCACTTCAACCTTTGCTAATATTCAAACGGTTACCCCAATATTTTGGATTTAATGGACGTTCAGTGTTTACCTCTCCACAGATGCTCACTATTCTTAATGTAGCTTCATGAGGAAAATCTAAAACCCACATCACACTGAGCAACGAAGATTTTTTTGTTTGTTTTTTTAGGGTTCTTCGTTCAAGGTCACGAACACATTTGCCAGACATTCAGTTTTTCCTGCCGCCATCAAATTTCTTTACCATTAACCATTAAAACTGTTTGCGAATGTCAGGTGAACTTCTTTGCAACCTTTTCCAACCTTGAACGAACCCTAACGAAACAAAAAACATTGGGCCGTGCGCAAACACTGGCAAACCTCCACTCAGTGGAATAGATTAAATGTATTACGTCAAGATAATGATAATAATAATTGTAATAATTTCAGAGGATGAAAAGAGCATCAGTACATATTCATTTTGATCTCAGTTTTCTGACATGAAGCTAAATTAATCTTTTTTTTTTTTTGTTTTTACGCTCATGTTGAGAAAGCGCCTCTCTCCTCCAATCTGTCAGGTTCATCTCAGTGTGCGAAACGTTTCTGCGTTAGGTCGTTAAGACTCGTAACAACTTTGTCACCACTTACATTTTTCCGGTCCCTGTACTTGAGCATTTCTTTTTCTGGTGGCTTTTTAAATTTATTCCTTACATTTGAATACATATCTTTCCTTTCTAATCCTTATGAAAATCGGTTTATTACGTTTTTCAACCTGTGGATGATTTAAACAGTCCTTAGATGGGGAAAGATCAAAGTCTATGATGTTGAGATTTTGACTGATGGATCGACTGATTGAACTCTTTGGAATTTAGAAGCGGAACATGAACAAGGGAGCAATAAGACGATACATCAGATTCAAAGATAGAAGTGGCGTTAAGTAGATACAAATACCTTGACTTTCGAGATATAGGGTACAAGTAAAAATCCAAGAGGGGCGCTCTTTAGATTCCCACCTCTGAGAGTTCTTTGACGTCAAATTTCGTTTGACAGCAGAGGACGAATGAATCTTCTTAATTATTTCCCAGGCGCAGTATTAATCACAATACCACATTTAGATGAGTGGGGGGGGGGGGCACATAAAACATATTCAAAGAGATTGTTGCTTTAAATTCCTTTTCAAGAGAATTACTTGATGTTGTCAGCCTTAAAAAAAATGTTTCTGGCATTAAAAAAAATCAGTCTCATCTGAAAAGCCACACACTGGTCAAGTGTATTTATTTTTTCAGGCATTTTCATTATTAGCAAATGTTAGTTCGCAACGTAGTTGTTTTATTTGCGCCTGAGCTGCACTTGCTTGAAAACACATGTACACACACATTTCCCCCTTCCTTTTTTCCACGTTACAAAAACGAGTTTTGTATATTATCGACAGCAAAAAAAAAAAAAAAAAAAAGACTTTAAGTACATTTGAGTTTGTAAATTTATGACGCCCAAAGGTAAGAGGCAAAACGTCGTTTTTTCTTGGGTTTTTTTTTTTTTTGTAAGACTAACTAAACTTCGACGTACAGAGTACGTCTACTTTGGCCAGTTAAAGTAACAACACAAAAGCAAGCTTCTTTTCTCTCCAAGTGCTACTCTAACGCGGCGCTTCCGGCCGGCGGCCACGATGTGGCACGGGGAAGCCAGCCAGCCCGGTCGGGGTGCAGGCATGAGGCCGGGCTGGCGTCTGCGGGAGAGGCCGCGGCCGCTCATCGGGGCAGCGGGGCAGCGGAAACATGCTGCTACATATGTCGGGTCAAGCATGGGCCTTTTGTTGTTCCCTTAAAAGGGTGTTAAAAACTACTCATCTGGAGCCTCGCTCAATGCAGTCAAAGCCCGCGCGCGCTCTGGTGGCTGCATGGGCCTAATGAAGCGCTTCAAAGACGATTCGTTGGTGCACGGTCACTTTTAATGCGCGGGGGGCATTTTTAATTGGCCCGTTGGAAGAATGGACGGCGTAATCCCAATATCATTCTGTTTTTTTTTTTCCTTTTTTTTTTTTTTTTTTAAGATACTCATCAAAAGCTTGGGCGTCTTGGACCGCGCGTGACGAGTTTCGTCGATCGTGTGGAGTGACGCACTCACAAGTCACTTCTTTTGGTACACTTGCACCGTCTATTGCGGTTTTTCACAACTTATATTTCCATCCATCCATCCATCTATCCATTTTCCGATCCGCTTCATCCTCACAAGGGTCGCGGGGCGTGCTGGGCGTCTTTGGGCAGTAGGTGGGGGACACCCTGAACTGGTCGCCAGCCAATCGCAGACAACCTATATTTATTATTTATTATTTATTTTGCATTAGAAAGATGTCACCAAAAGAGTAGATAGTGTTCCTCCCCTTATTTGCAACTAATTACAAAAGAACTGATCACCCTTTTTTGGGTGCTGCGGAACTTTGTTGAAGTGAGTTGAGGAGTCATTCACGGTGGGCAGGGCACACAAATAATTTACACTCTTAAATGCCATGAAAAAAAAAATCTTCTAATCCCCCCCTCAACCACTACCCCAAAAAATGTGATTAAACAGTAAATGGGATTTAAAAAGTGATTAAGTGGGTACCAAGAAATAAGTATAAGGCTTGGAAAGTGAATCCGTGAATGTCGAACCGTAAATGTACGCAGGTTCACAGCGCCACTGTGCATCCCTTTCCAATGTTATAACTTGCACACCTTTGGACCAACTTAAGTGTAGTTTTGATACAACAAAATATTGGAAGCTGCCCTACAAAATGGTGATGCGTCCTTGGGTTCGCCTGTGTTGAGACATCCAATCGTATAGTGATAAGGTCAAAGTTCTAAAATGCTGCGAATACTGCGAACCCATGATAGGGGTTGCAATGAATCAAAAGCACGAATAAACACTTGATCTGCAGTTGACAGTGGATCAAGCTGTCAACACCGTTAAGTCTGTGAAAGCCAAATTTGGATGCGACTGACTTGCTCCATTCATAAAATGTGCAGCTGTACCTAATATAGTGACTTTCCCCAAATACTTGCCGCCAGGCTAATTGTCACGCAGACAGTTCCGTTCGTAAAGTTGCAACGGCACCAACGAAGCCCTCAGTGAGGGAGAAAAGTGCATGCGGGTTGTTTTCTTTTCCAAGGATTTCGCATCGAGTCTTCTTCCTTTCCGTCAAGCGGCGGCGATCCGGGCACATAATTACTTTGAATGTCAAAAAGATGTCGTTTTAATATCGTCTCCATTAGCCTGTTGGCTGGCTAATTAAGGTGCAGATGAGGAAACAGATGGCATTTGCTTACAGTGATTCACCGAGTAAACAAAGAGGAGAGGCAGGGATGGAGGGATGGAAGGAGGGAGGGAGGGAGCGAAGGGAGGCCGTTTTCTTTTTCTTCTGCAACCCCGCGCCCGTTGTTCACTTCTAGTCCTTCTCAAGGCGAGCTTCTTATGCAGGCAACGTGCGTGCATGAGGGAGTGAACAGGTGAGGGAGCAGGTGTTTGTGTGCTACCCTTTTGCAGCGCTGTGCGTGTGCGTGTGCGCGTGCGTGTGCGCGTGTTCGTGTGTGTGTGTGTGTGTGTGTGTGTGTGTGTGTGTGTGTGTGTGTGTGTGTGTGTGTGAGAGTGTCAGCGCGCACACTTAATCATATCATTCGACACTTGATGAGCAGGCAACGACGGCACCGCCTCATTGCTGCACTTGCGGCAATATAAAGTGTATACTGGATGGAAGGATGTTTCTTTATTTTGGAAAAAAATCAAAGGAATAAGATACATTTCCTATTTTCCGATGTATTCAGATGAATATGTTGTTTTCATTCTATTTTACTACATGACCTGGCAGACTCCAAGAAACATTTCAATGTAGGATTAAAGTGTTCATTTATTTGTGTCAGTGCGTTTCAATGACAGCGTTGACAACCTATAATCATGATAATGTAAGAAAAAGCATCATAATCATTATTACTACAACAACAATAACGATTATGAATAATGACAAATTCTCATTAGTTCTCTAAACAAATAATAGTCAATATAGCCGACTGTATAAATACAACAGACCTCCTGAGACAATAGAGTGATTTTTTTTTTTGTGAAACGAACAATCAATACCTTTTTGAAATTGCACATATAAGTATAGATTCATTTTTATTCATATGTTTAGATTTTTATAACAGTAATACAATTATGGGACATGATTTCTCATAGCTGTGATAAAACTGGAATATTCAGTATACTGTTCGAATGAATGTCACAAATAAGAACGCAACACAAATAACGATAACGTTACAAGTACCGTAAGGATTTACTCAATTTAAATATTGCATCATTTAAATAGTTATGGAAGAAAACCCCCCAAAAAATCACCAAAAAAAAGAGTGAAGAATTGATTCAAAGGAAACATTTTAAACAACAAATTGCATTTATTGTAGTCCTACATTTTGCACTAAATGCATGATTCACAACCATGTAACGCTCTGCAAACACGTTTTTTTAATGCAAACCAATTGTAATAGCCAGTTAGACAAAATATCTTTCAAGTTGATGACAATTTTAAAAAGTCACATTTTAGTCGATTCACGATTACAAAAAAAATGCTACTTACCTCCTGACGGATGACGGAAGCGTCATTATATTTAATTAGGGGACCTATAAATATCGAGCACACGCGTGAGCATCAATAAAAGTCACCGGAGTGATATACATAATGATGTCGTTTTTTGGAAACACGCTGCATCCAACTTGAGCTTTGTGGGAACTCCCTTCACATTCTTAACACTTGATATCTTGGAGTTGGTGACGGTGGTGGTTGGGGAGAAGGAGGGGGGGGGGGTAAAAATAAAAAGAAGACGAAGAACTCAGGTAGACACAGTTGAAAAAAAAGAAGGCGGCCAATCAGAACGCCGCCTCCCTTTTTGGCCAATGACAGGCGCCACATTGTTGTCAAATTGCTCTAATGAAAACTTGAGCGCAACAATAGTGAGGGGAGAGAGCGCCGTGTCGCAACTGACGCTCTCCGGAGGAAGTTAGTGTCGCACGCGCGCACGCACGCGCTCGCTCGTCACGGAGCTCCTCTTTTCGGGGCGGGGTGGGGTGGGGGGATCTGAACGATTACCACTCGGTCGATGCGGTAGAAAGCGGCTCGTTCATTCGTTCAGCCAAGCATGGATCTCAGAGCGGAGATGCAGCCCGCCGTCTCCTCGTCGGCGTCGGCCGCTCAGGTGCACGCGGGAGCGGTGGCCGCGGTAGCCTCCATCCCGGTGTCCATGGCGGGCAACCTGCTGCGCGGGCCGCCGCTGCTGCTGCGCGCCGCCGACAAGTACCCGCGCACGCCTAAGTGCGCGCGGTGCCGCAACCACGGCGTGGTGTCGGCACTCAAGGGCCACAAGCGCTATTGCCGCTGGAAGGATTGCATGTGCGCCAAGTGCACGCTGATTGCCGAGAGGCAGCGCGTCATGGCGGCGCAGGTGGCGCTGCGTAGGCAGCAGGCGCAGGAGGAGAACGAAGCCCGGGAACTGCAACTGCTCTACGGCACCGCCGAGGGGCTCGCCCTGGCCGCCGCCAACGGCATCATCCCGCCCAGGCCCGGCTACGAGGTCTTCGCCTCGGTGAGCAGCGAGACCAGCAACTCCGGTGAGGCTTCACGCTGTACACGACTGGCTCATTGTTTGCTTCATGCACCTTTACGGCGTGTGTTCCCCCCTGGGGTGAATGAACTTTACTTTATAAATACCCTGCACTGGAAAAAACGATTCGAAAAGAAGGATGACCCCCTCGCATAGGATAAAATAAACTATGTAATCCGAAATGCATACATCCTTAAAACTGAGGAGTTAAAATAACATAATACGAGTAAGAAAGAAAGAAAAACAAAATGAGTTTGAAATAACCCAAAATGGTTCATTTTTAGCCCACAGTTTTTCTACGCATGTACACAAATTACCGAGACATATATACACTGCCATAGACACAATTCCCTATGCAAATGTACACATTGTTAGCCCAACGGCATAACTGCCAATATGTCATATTTTAACGTTTATGGATCGATTCATCTGTGATCTGACTGACTGTGAATCTACACCTCAAGCAAAATCAAAACTAAGATACAAAATAAATAAATAAATAAAATCTGCCTTTACAGGATCACAAAGGTCACTTTTGATTGAAACTCGTGTCAAAAGTATTGAACAATATGTCGTTTTGTGTGTTGTGATCACCCCGACAGCTGTTTCTAATATTTTGTTGACCTTATAAGGAAATACTTTCCCAAGAAAGACGCAAGGGCAGTGATCAATATACTGCATAGCTGTTTCTAATATTTTGTCCCCATAAGCGGAGCTGTCACTGATGCCGCACACGTGCAAAGCACAATAACTGTTCAATGAAGGCCTCTCAGGTAGACAGATTGAATGAAAAACGATCATTACAATCAGTGTAAAACTTTGAAAACAGCCGTTTCATTTTCAATGTCATTGATCATATCGATCAGGTGAACGTACTGTGTGTTGATTAGAATTTTTCAATGCCATAAAATGATAACGATAGAAGTTGCTGGCTTCACTGTTATATTCGATACGTTACACACGACAGAGCTTTATATTGGAATTATTTTCGTTCTTTAATTATATGAACGTTGGTTATGTCTATGTTTTGGACACCGGTCGTCTACTTAAAAAAAGTTACCACTGAGGCCATTTCCCGTTTTTTGTCAATAGATTCGAGCGTGCAGAAGTTCGACTTGTTCCCAAAGGGCCAAGCGTCGGGCCCCTCCACCCCGCAGCAGACTGGCGGCAAGCAGACGCCCGCGGAGAGCGACTCCGCTCCGGGTCTTTCGTCCCCGGACGGCCGGCACGGTGGAGGCGGAGCTTCCGGCTCCGAGAACGGAGACAGCGAGTCGTTCGTCCACTCGCCGGTTGCTAAGCCTTCGAAAGACGGCGGCGAGACTCCCTGTAGGTCCGTCAGCTCCCTGGGCTCCGACTCCGGTTCCGAGACCGACAAGGACGAGCGGGAGCCTTCGCCGTCCCCGTCGCCGTCCTCCGCGGCCTCCAGGCACATGCACGCCCTCGACATCCTCACCCGGGTGTTCCCCAGCCACAAGCGCAGCGTGCTGGAGCTGGTCCTGCAGGGCTGCGGCAAGGACGTGGTGCAGGCCATCGAGCAGATCCTCAACAACCCGGCCCAGGGCGGCCAGCACAAGTCCGGCTCCGAGGAGACTTGGAGCGGCGATAGGATGGTGCAAAGCTCGCAGCCGCCTCCTTCCACCTCGTCCTCCTCGTCGTCTTCCTCGGCTCCAGCCCCGGCTCGACCCATGCTGCCCGGCGCCATGACGCTCAGCAACCGTTCGGCCTTCTCGCCCCTGCAGCCCAACGCGCCCCACTTCGGAGCCGAACCAGGCGCCTACCCGCTGGGAACGCACCTGGGACTCAACCCGCTGCGGCTGGCCTACTCCGCGCACAGCCGCGGTCTGGCCTTCATGACGCCCTACTCCACCACCGGCCTTATGCCCACCCTGGGCTTCAGACCCCCGATGGACTATGCCTTTAACGACCTCATCCGGGACAGGACCATATTGCACAAGGAGCAGGGCTACGCCGGAGGCCTGTACGGGCCTCTGGTCAACAACACGCCAGACAAACAGTGACCGCAGGCGGACGGAACGCACGCGCACCAAAGTCGTTTGAGCGTTTATTCCAGGGGTTCTCATGTTCTTTTACACAAAGCACTAAACTGTAAAATAAAAAAAAAAATAGTTTCTTTATTTTTGGGGCTAACACATAAGTTGATACAACTTTAGATATCAATTACTGATATTTATGGCAACGACGTTAGTATATCGCAAAGCAAGCAAGTTGTGTACGCCAAATGGATTTGCTGAGTTTTTGCGGATATATCTTTAAATTCGCTCACAAGACAAGGAGGAATTCGTTTTGTAAACTCTTATTTCTTTGTTGAAAATGCAGGAAAGCCAATTTTCACATGAACAAAACTTAAAATATTTTGTTAAACTGACCAATTTAAAATGTTGTCCAAGTTTGTTGCCTTGAAAATGTCAGTTTCACCAACTTTTATTTGATTAAAAAAAAAACAAAAAACAAACAACAACAAAAAAAACCTCAAATAATGGATCCATTCAGTTGTGTTGCACATAAAAGTTAGACACAAATTGGACGTGCACGGAGAAAAATGTTGCATTCGAAGTCGGGCAATTCAACTAAACGTATTCACTTGTGCTGTTGTGCAAATTGGCTTTCCTGTGTTTCACAACAAAGAACCCTTATGGAACCGCAAGTTAAAGTAAAAAAAAAATTGCTTTGGTGCACTAACATTCTTGCAATAAATGTTTGTAATTTATATTTTAAAGTTTTACAATTTAAATGAGTATTTTAGGCCAACATATACTATTTTTTACAGTGCAAAGAATGTTTAAAAACAGATTAATTGCAAACGTAATGTACTTCAAAGTTAAATACAACTGAACTGTACTTGTCAAATGTAGTTGACTTTATTTTTTTTTTTTAAATCCGTGGTCACATTATCCACAGTTTATCCCTATCATTCAGTGATGATCCAAATACCAGTAGAGAGAGCCCTTGGACCACATCACTAATTTGTTCCCTGGGATCCAGTTCACAGTTCATTTAGTCGTCTTGTTCACCTCACTTGTAAGCCATTTAAGTGCACTTGTAGAACGACAGTGTTTTTCGAGTCACTTTTCTCCGCCACTACCTGTACCTTCTACTACTGTATGACATTTCTGCACAACTACTTGTGAGCTAAAACGGCACACTAGTGGAAATCTGTGCACTGCGAGTTCTACTAGTAAAGAGCTAGATGTGAACTAGTAGAATTTTATGTAGTAGCATGCTGTTGTCAGTTAGTTTGACTTCAGTAGTAGTTCTACTTGTATGCCAATTTTCCTTCTAAAATTTTGTTTCAGTTTTTTTTGGGGGGGGGGGTAGACTTTACTCAATTTCATTTCTTCAAGTAGTTGCAAGAAATAAAATCATCTGGCTCCAGATACATTTTTAAGTGATGTACCTGGACATCATCTGATTGTATTTTGTGCTTGACAAAATAAAACGGAGTAAATTCAACACACCGTTTTTTCCCCCCCGGTGTACGTGAAGACAACGAACATACTGAGGCTGCATGTCAAGACATCGAACTAGGTGACTCCTCGATAAGGATGAAACGATCGTCAAATATCACAAAGCGCCGTCGTTTAACTACGGAGCCGTTATTGCTTATTAGTCGGTTAAAAGTGGAACTTTTGGTGAGCAACAACAAAAAAAACATTAGATACTACATCTGAAGGTTAGCGAATAAACGCTCAAACGTCTTCCTATCCACACACACACACACACACACACACACACACACACACACACACACACACACACACACACACACACACACACACACACACACACTCCATTGTATTTGTGGCCAAAAGAGTTTGAATGTTGTCGTGTTTTGGCTGTGTGTGACTGTATATACACCAATCCGCTTTGTCGTCAAAAGATGGAAAAAACATTATTGACTTTATATTGGATTACAAAGGGGATTTGGGCATGAAAAAAGAGGGGCAACGGCCACATTGATTTTATTTTTTTTCTCCAATTTTCATGACAATTCTGGAAGAATATCAAATGAAAAGAAAAACAGCAAATCTTTTTTTAATCATGTATTGAATCGTTTTTAACAGCGGTTGGTGAATTTACGAACCGTTTTCCAAATTAAATTGAGGTTTTCAGAGCAACATTAAATTATTCCAACTGACGCATATTAACCTTTTTAAGATGTTCCTGTTGTAAAGGTTGAACTAATTGATGTCATGTAAAAAAAAAAAAACAATAATAAAATTAAAAAGGCGAAATCCCGTCTTATATGTAATTATTATTGTTTCAAGTTCGGTTTTTTGTATCTCCTTTCTTTTCAACTGCCTGTGTCATATATTGCATTTAGAATGAGGATACGCGATGCTACACTTGACTTTTCATTTAATCGTTTGTGACTTTAAAGTGCTAAATCAAGTCTGTTGCTCTTCAAATGTGCTGTCATGCTGTATGACTATACTGGCAAGAATAAATGTTATTTTAAAGAAATGTTAAACACCACTTGTGTTGTCATGATGATGATAATGATGATGAATTGATTTCGGTTTTATACACAGGGTCAGAATTGAAAAAAAAGTAAAAAGTCGAACTAAAAAAATACAATTAAGTGCAAAAATACATGCAATATTTTACAATACATATTTGAATTGATAGTCGACAGTCGTTATTTGTAAAAAAAAAGACAATGCTACAAGGTAGAAATACAATTCTAATATAACTACGTAGAAACAAATAAAAATGTACACGTTGCAAAATCACACACAAACCTGAAATGCCATGCGAGAAAAATATCACGTTCAATTTCATAAAATGCATCCATTTTTCAAAGTTTCACGAGAAAGTCGACACGAGAGAACTATTTCAGTTGTTCTGCCCACAGCAAAAGTTTCGGGCCATTTCATTAATAGTAATTGTGTTTAGAATATTCATTTAGTAATCGCGGTGCATTGTGGGTAGCTGACGCCGTGTTTCATCACGGAAAGCCAGACCGTGGTCGTTGCAACTGGTCCTCCTGAGTTATATTCCTTTCGTTTCACCTTCGAAAGCAATGGCTGTTAAGTCTGCTCGTGTTTAGCATTATTTAGAAATGTGTTTCGGAGATCGTTTTTCTTCAATTGTTGTCATTGAAACTCGCTAGCTCAGAGTACTGCTAAGACGTAGCGACGATGCTAAATCAGTGCTAACAAGCTAATTAGCACGTGAAGGTACTGCGAAAACGCATTGTTTATCGTTGTTTGTCACACTTTGAGCTGCATTTATGTCTTTTGTTTAACAGCAGACGATTTGTGTTGTATTTATGTACACGATGTTAATGCATGTTTTAAATCTGTTCATTTCAGTTTCACTCTACATTTCATTGAGCTGATGTCACAGTTGTTCACTGTACGCCGTCAAGAAGACCCAATAAAGAAGCAAGACGCTCATGAATAAATGAGTTTGGCTTGCTGTTGACTTGCGTTAACATACCCGGAGCATCTAACACGTAGCGATAACAATACATCAGTCATCTTTCATTTCGATTGTAAATGTATTTATTTATAAACATTTCACAGTAATCAACTTCTTGCATTGAAGGTTTACTGTGATGTGAATACGATTTACATTTCGGTGCTTGGTTGGTTTATGCCGATTCGGACTTTCAATAAAACAAAAGAGAACATTTGCCAGGATTAACAATCCCTTGAGTCTTAAAATATATTTTCGAGAACATAAAGGTCAAAGTCTGAATCTTGCAACTCGGTTTCACAAATATGGAATTGAATTCGGTCAATGAAGTATTAAAATTGGACTAAGAATGCACTGTTTGTGACTGAGGAAAAAAACAGCATTGTGGTGTTAAAAAAACAAACGTAGTAAATCATATTACAAAACAAAAAGACGCTATATATCAAAATTCTTGCGATCTAAATAACTTGTCGTCATCCTCTCGCTTGAAGACCGATAGCTTGTCTCATTGACACGCCTTGTAACGAGTGTCGAAGTTTTGCAAATAACAATGGCGCCATCTGCTGGCCATTTGCTGCAAGCATCGTTCAATTCTTTGAAAAGTCTCCCAGTGGAGAAGAGTACACGAGATGACGTCATACACGTAATAATTGAAAAGTGAGGCTATACGCCACACGTTATGGCGTCATGTCATTGTCAGTAACTGTCCATAAATACTTGCATCTCATTATGAAGTATGTATTTGACCAGTAGTTTTCAAACTATTTACACCCAAAGTGTAAAGTGGTACAACGTATTTGAAGTGAAAACCTGACTTGTTGACCAAATTTTGTTAACTACAGTGGTGCCTTGACTTGTGAGTTTTCGCTGCATGACCAAGATCATAATTTATATATGTCTCACATTTTATACAAGGCTGGATTAGGGTAGAGCATTTTTTTAAAATAATGTAATTGTGACACCCCCCCATTATTGTGACTAAATATGTGATTATTTTTTTCAAGCTTCACTTTCCATGTACCTTTTAACAAACACAACCAATGCATTCATTTGTATTACTCTCACAAGTGTTGCGGCGGGGTGCTGGAGCCCATCCCAGCTGTGTTCGGGCAGTTGGAAGGGGGCACCCTGAACCGGTTCAGGGCACACAGAGACGAACAACCATCCATAGAGTGTTCCATTAGCCTGCCCTGCATGTTTTTGGAATTTGGGGAGGAAACCGCAGTACCCACCGAAAAACCATGCAGGCAAGGGGAGAAAATGCAAACTCCACACAGGGAGGCGCAAGCCGGAATGGAACCCTGCACCTCTGCACTGTGAGGTCAACGTGCTAACCACTGGATTGGATCACAGGTTTTGCGATTTGAAAATTGCATTCTCCTACATGGAGCATTTTCAAAAAGTTGCATGTATAATCCAGTAGAGGGAAGTCTTGTCTAACAAGTAACGTCCAAGCTGTGCAAGCCCAAATAGCTGCAGTAAATGTCAACAACTACAGCCTAGATTTCACTGCAACATATTTATGAAGTGTTGAAGTAAAACTTCCCATCGGCACTCATTTAGGATCGAAACCTGAATGTTGGTTTTCTGCAAGTATGTAAAAATAAACATGTAAATGAGCAAAGAGAATTGCAGTAGGCTAACAGAATTTGGGCATTTTGCAAGACAATGATTTAGAGCTCTTTGGGTGCAATAAAATTTGGGGGATTTCTGTCGAGCGGTTCCGTGACTGACTTGGTTCGCACATCTGCCTCACAGTGCAGTGGTGCAGGGTTATATACATAATTTGATGGTTTTGTTGAGATTTTTGTTTATTCCAAACCTCTGTTAAACCTATGATCATTGTATTCCATTTAGGTTTTGTTTATTTTTTCCCCAGAAACTTTTATTCTCCTGGTTTTAGCAATAGTTTGGCTCCTGAGGGTTTAAGGTCAACAAATCTTGCCGCCAGGTGGCGCACATCAGATGTTGATGCATTTTTTTTTTTTATCCATCCATGAATCTTTAGTTCCACTTCTGTCCTCACAAGGGTTGGGGGTGGGGGGGACACCCTGAACCAGTTGCCAGCCAATCGCAGGGCACACAGAGACAAACAACCATCCATGCTCACACGCTCACCTAGGGACAAATTTTTTTTTGGAGTGTTCAATCAGCCTGCCATGCATGGTTTTGGAATGGGGGAGGAAACCGGAGTACCCGGAGAAAACCCACACAGGCCCGGGAGAACATGCAAACTCCACACAGGGAGGCCAGAGCTGGGATTGAACCCGGTACTTCTGCACTGTTGAGGTCTACGCGCTAACCACTGGACCACCGGGCTGCCGCATTTTTCAAGTGATTACCATAAAACAGTTGTATTTTAGTGTTACAAGTGTGTACCATGCTTCTCAGATTTCGAATTTCCTTTAAAATGGATGAACTCATTTGAAATTGAAATGAAATACACTAATTATTTCTTTTCGAAAGTAACAGAGAGCCTCGGCAGAAGGATGAAAGAGCCACATGGCACCCAAGCTAAAACACTACTTACTTTCTGAATTTTCTCTCACTTTGGACCCACATTTCACTGTGATGTTTTGGCGGGAGGTGCAGGCTGGTTTCATGGTTGTGGTCATCTTGGAAATGGGAATTGGCCCAGTTGCTGCACTCCAAAAACCTGGAAAAATGCTAAGTGTGTACTGCTCCTGATATGTCAAAACCGGAAATGAACCTTGATGTCGACCAGTTATTCATCAGGACTATTAGCCATTCCCCAGTCATCTCTGCGCTAAACGGCTAAAGTGGGAGTTCGATCACTCTCGTGCTCAGTGACCCATCCCATAATTTCAAGGTCATACTGTAACATTGATGGAAACTGTGTATGCACTTCCAAGTGACTACCTAAAAAGAGAAGGAGAAATTGTAAGAAAGCAGTAAGAACAGGAAGCATATCTCGAAGTCGATCATACTTCATATGTTTACAAGGCCCCAACAGATCACTGGTCCAGGAGCGTGAACGAAAAGGAAAAAAATGCAGTGACTCGTACTGAAATGACTGTTTTAACCCCCCCAAAAAAATACAAGTTGTGTTTCTTACAAAGTAATTGAAAAAGTACGCTGGCAAGCCTCCACTGCTGGAACAATTGAGCCCCAAAGGTAAACTACAGTTTTCCTAATGATCAGCACAAGGCAACCATTACAATACTCGCTGAGCGCTCCTCGCCCAGCAAACAGTACGAGCATCACAAGACAGAAAGCTGGCACATATAGCAGCAGCGAATGCACAAGCACACGTCCACTGATGAAGAATTAGAGCGGGGACAGATAAATAGCCGCAGGCTGTCAGTGCAGCACAAGCCATAGCAAGAAAAATCCATTTGGATTATGACTCCATACATAAAACCCATTTTCATTTTCACAGCCGCAGTTTGGTTTACGGTCGGAATAACAAATAGATAGCAGGTCAAAGGAAAACAATGACTGAATTTAGAGTCGTGGCTATGGCGTCTCACTTGACGCCAGAGAGAGCGGCGGGCAGGCAGGTAGGGCATAAATAGAAATGAATAGATCGTCTTCGTCACGTGAAGCACGCCCGTTGAAATAAAAAAAGCTTCAGGAGCAGGAAAGTGTTGCGCCGACTAATTAACAGGGGATGAATTCATTTACTTCCTAAATTCCACCCCGGCACACATATTGCAAGCAAACACTGATAAATGAATGGTAATCTCCACCAATCAAAATATCCATTTATCACGATAAGTACTCAATTTTCTCGACGAGTGACTCTGGGTGTTGATCCCTCAATTGCAGGAAGCACCAGTTAGCCCTATTTCATACCATTGTTTGGAATCTTTTTAATAATCAGCATGATCGCTCCACATTCACGCCAGTGTGGATGCCCTGTGGAACCATGCTGCCTCTCACAGGTCAGTTTCGCTACGAAAACAGATATCTGGTCTGGGGGAGGAGACTCGTGATTGTCGGTGGAAACTAGTGATGGGATTTTCGGCTCTTTTCGGTGATCCGGTTCATTTGGATCGGCTCAGTGAAAAGAGCCGGCTCTTTTTGGCTCTCAAACGGCTCTTTTAACTTTAGCTTTTCTTTTAAATATTTATGACAAATTTAGCATACATTTTGATAAATGACTTGGTGAACTAAATATTGCACTCTACCGACTGCAAATAGCAACAATTATCAAGCAAAGAAATGGCTTTTTACTTATTTGATTGAACATTAAAAAGGCTCCAAACAATAAACAAGCAACAAAATTAAACTTCATCCAACAACAATCAAACATGCTGCATCATAACAAAAATAGTGAGTATGAACTGCAACAGCAGCAGTGAACAAAACAAACATAAGCTACTCCTTGCTTGATTTTAAATTTGCAGTCAACAAAACTAAATACTTCAACTTGGAATACTTCAATTTGTCTGACGGGACAGATGTTGCTACAATGCAAAATCTACTCTCCATTACTTTGATCAAACGGGGGGGAGACGAAAGCTTGGTATTTCCACCAGCTCAGTGCAATAGCTGACCTTGAAATCTGTGGTTCTTCAAGATATGCCGTAATTTAGTGTTTTGTGTTTTTGCACGCTTGGCTAATACTGTAAATTAGATTCAGATTGCTTGCCAAACGCCTTTGTGGTTTCCCGGACAGTAGGGGGCGATATGAACTAAAGACATCCAATTCACCAAGAAGAAGAATAAGTACAAGCACAAGTACGGTACCACATCCGGTTCAATGAGCAAGTTTTTCCGCTATCCACAAGCACTGTTCTCAGTGAGTAATTTTAACATTTTAAACTGACTTCGCAGTTTATCTCTGAGTGTATAGATGTAGACAATTGGGGAGAGTTATTATGACACGTTGCTCCTTTAATTTTGTTGTTGTGACCCAACGTAAAAAACAACGTCAGCAAAGGGGGCAGTGAGCGAGCACTCAGCCGACAAGTAGACCTCAGCTGTCAATCAAAAAGCAATCGCGAACAGAGTTTGACTTGAATACTATTCTGTATGTTTTCCACACCAAAGCTGAAATCAGCAGTGGAAGTGTGATGGCTTCATATCGGGGGGTGGGCAGAGTTGTTTCAAAAGTATTCCCACAAATGCACCCGTGACTTTTTTCATTTGT